CAAATCACTTAAAAACGAAGAACGAAGCTTCCCATCAAGTCTCAGCCTTGGAGCTACAATTTCAGAATACAATTTTGATAAAAGGGATGCTCTTCATTTTCGGAAAAGATTGTGGGTGCCTTATTAGGAACTCCTAAAAATGGCCCTGATTCAAATAATTCACGATTCTTATGTTATTGGACACCCTGGTAGAGACAGTTCTTATGCAATTTTGTCAAGAAGTTTCTTCTTGCTAGGTGCTTCCTCGATGGAGAGAATATTTTGTAAAAATTGCAACGTTTGTGGCCGATCTCACGTTTGGAGAGAAAGAAAAAAGGGTCTCCTTTTGCCGTTGCCAATCACGTATCTTTTTCACTCCGAATTTTCGATTGATTTTATGTCAAATCTTCTAGCAAACTCTATAGGTGAATCACAATTCCTTATGGTTATAACCGATAAGCTACTTGAAAGTCGGACATTAGGAGCTGTGGTTTCAATGTCTGCCGAAAGCTTTGCGGAAAACTGTAGTCGATGTCATTACTGTTATCATGGTTTCTCATCAGTCATAACGTCTGATCGGGGCTCAAACTGAGTCAGAGATTTTTGGTCAAAATCGAACGACGCCTTTCAACTGCCTTTCATCCCCAAGCACACGGTAGCACAGAAAGAATGAATCAGGAAGTCCTTGCATAATTACGAGCATTTATTTCTTACGCGCAATTTGAATGGCCGTATATGCTCCCGATGGCCATTTTAGCCTTAAATACTTGAGGTACAGCAACCGGTCTTAGCCCGTTTTTTCTCATCCAAGGTTACCATGCTGACCTAGTTGATCGAGTACCGGCTCAGAAAATAAAAGCCCCAGACCCAGCTAAAAGGGCCAACGATTTTGTTAAAAGACTAAGGGAAGGACAAGAATGGAATTAAATTTAAGTCCCTTCTGAGTCTGTGACTATGAAGAACAAATGACAAGAATATAAGCAAGCTGCAATGGCTTCAATTCAACAAAGAATGGAATCATCGGCTTATAAAAATAGATCACCTCAGGAACGATACTACTCGGGTGACCACATTTAGCTAGATTGGGTGCAATGAGAGGGCGCCGTAAATTAGCTAGTTGAACACACGGTTTACTTTGAGAAGAGATAGCTTGTGGAGACCTATGTGTAAGGAAAAATCAAGTTGTTTCTACTGAGTTTTTGATACCCGTAAATCCTATTCACTTACTACAGGACAGGCTCCCTAGTTTCCATACACATTCTCCCAACTAAATACTGGGTCGCTTGAGCACTTACTCCATTTGAGACTGGAGAAATCTGGCTCGAGTCCAGTGAGACTCATACACCACAGTCCCTCGCGGTGATGATGTATTTGAAGGTCGACAAAAGTACACTCGGAAAGCCACCGCATTTTCAGGCTTTCCTGTGATGGTACATACTGTCGGTAAAAGGATCATATCTGGGCAGTATGAATTGTTCTATGTAATTGCGGTAGTCAGGTTGTCGTCAGGACACGGACAGGGATCTGACTTAGCTCGTTAGCGAGGCGCTTGGAGTACATGTGGCTCCTAGTCTGATGTCTTCAAGCACAAGAGGGACATGATAACATCCGCGACTGTACTGGTGAAGATATTCAGACTACTAGAGGGTATATTGTTCTATATTCAGATTTACATTACAAAAGATATGTGGTGTGTGCCCTAGCGTGGCACGTGATATGTATGTAACCTCATACAGGAAGAAAGGGGAGATGGAGAGGGAAAAAGAAGACAACGTTTTATGTATTTCGAGATACCAGTTAACTGCCTTTATTCGCCAACTTCGTGACGGATAGCTGACTTCGTTACGGCACCTAATTTGTATTACTTCGTGTTTTACCAACACATACGGAAGAGGTTACTTGCCGCAAGGAATACTTTCGAGTGGTATCTGCGAATGAAATCTGGGCGTGAGTAATCCAAACTTCAAATTGGGTCATTCTACACAAAGGTACATCCATTGCTACCATCTTTTTTTTGGGAGGAAGATTCCATGGAAAAGATGTCAGAAATCTACGATGAAATGCTACTCTGACACTATCCATCATGGGCAAGATATCATAGATGTTTAAGTAACTGAGGGGATTGAAGCATTGAACAATGTGTGGCCTGGGTCATAGAGGGGTATAATGTGTCAATATTTTAAGACTTGTGAAGTAAAATAAACACGTAGAATTGTACAAAAAATACTCAGGTTTCGCAATTACCAGTATAGTCCTTTAGGGCGATTAGTCAAGATAGTTGAAAAATTCATTCGTGAGGGCTATACACAAGGATTATAGATTATATTTCAGCCTTGATTAAAAAGGTTGATTAGTGTAGTTGGTTATCACATCGGATTTTGAGAGCAAAGTTCCGGGGACCCGGGTTCGAATCCCAGATCGACCTGCCTGCGCCGCGATACTTTTGCACCTCATCATCACACTCAGGGACATCTTATTTGTCCGCAAGTCTAACATCGTATCCAATAGTTATTTTCAAGAGGAGGGAGATTCCACCGGTTTAATGGTTAGTCATATGCTGCCCATTCACTTTTATGCCATATTTTCCCCTCGACATATTCTCTGTACCACTAACAGCAAGAGCCAAATTTGTCACTAGCCCTCTTCGTCGTTCCATCTCCTACACCGTCCTTTGAAGCCACGGGGACTTCACCGAAGGCAGCTAAACTCTCCGACCTTTTATCCGGAACCCAAGGCCCTGAAGCCCAATCCCTCGGCCATGTTAACATCTTTTGATGGTGCAATCGTCACCTGTTCGGATCGTTGGCCACAGCTCTCACCAGCGATTCTACTGCGAATTTCTGTCACTTCAATTCGAAAATAATATCACGCTACTCTTTATTTGCTAATTGATTGATCGTCGGAATGACTAAGCAGTCCCGGAAATACCATGGGTGAGGGTCATGCACTCTGCTTGCAAGTGCGTCGTTGACCCAAAGTTACAACATACTGAAGCCCAGGAGCCGGCGCGGGTAGTGTGAAAGCCAACACAGCGTTTCCGTTGCTCGATTTTTCAATGAAGTTTGAAAAGCTTCGCAGCTCCTGAATCGTCGAAAAAGGCGGAAGATGGCGCGAGGGGTAGCCCTTCAAAGAGATAGGGCATTCTCGTTTCGAAGTGAGGCGCCTGAGTTGCGACCAAATAAGTCGCTAAGGAGATCACGTCTGTGAAAATTTAGGCATAGATGTTGATTCTGGTGGAGGCCAAATTTGAAGGCAATTCGAGTTCAACCTTGACATTTGCAAAACTCAAATCGTCGTCCAAGAAGCCTTGTCGTATATCGTGCTCTTTTTGCCGCATGCAAAACTCGGTCTGCACGCGATGAATAGAGCTCACATCCATAGACTCGCATCAGAGCTCCTGTGTCATTGTATATCCAGTGTAGGCAGACAACAATTGACAACATTTGCGGTTGCTATCGAGGCACAAGATCAACCGCTTAAAGACTACCCTTGTATCAAGACCATACTCGCAAACTTGCATGAATGTTAATGCGTGGGGCCTGATGGTTTAGAACACATAGGTGTTCAAAGGCGACAGATATTGTCAGCTTCGGCTGTTCTTTTCTCACCTGAGGCTAATACGAGTACCTCACGGTGGTTTGAAAATGGAGAATTCAAGCACAGAATATTTATAGGATAAAAAGTGGATTTCAAAAATTTTCGATTGATGCGTTCTTTTGTTTATATATATATATATATATATAATTCAATATCCTGATTTAGCGCCTTGAGGCCCATAAAGGTTTTTATCGGAAGGTATGTACTTCAAGTAGTATGACTCAATTTGACCTTGAGAACACTCACTCACACTCAGATTTCATTTGCAGATACCACTCGAGGTTAACCCTTACGGCGTATAATCTCTTCCGTGCATACCCACCACAGGGAAAAGCGTGAAAAACCTGTGGTTATCCGAGTGTGCTTTCATCATCCCACAAGAACAATATCACCGCGAGAGAGAGTGGTGTGTGGGTCTGACTGGATTCGAACCAGCTTTCTCCTGTCTCGAATGGGGAAGGTGTTCAAGCTACCCAGTATCTACTTGGGGTAACGGTCCAGATGGTGTACCACTGCACCATCCAACCCTCTTTTGTTTATATATTTACGCGCTAGAAAATTTGACTCCCCGCACCCATATGGGAGCTCGAGCACGATTAAGCCTCATTCCAACAAATTGACCGACCCACCTTAGACCTTACCTACATGTTGAGTAAAACCAAGCTTGACCGTCCAGAAACCCGTTGTAAACACGCCGCAGCGCAAATTTCTCCTCAGCCTCAGCCATCACGCGCACTTAAAATTCTCATTTGCTCCAGAATAAAAATGTCGTACCAGGTCTCAATATTGCTCTAGACTTACACTTCCTAATGTTACTGTTAGGCTGTTATTGTCGCTTTTGGGGCAAAGACTCTGATGCCTTCGGTGTATATTCCAAATATTCCTCATTTACATACGACACATTTCCATAATGACTTTCCTCATTAAGGCGTGTGTAGGTAGGTGATATAACAGGCGTGGAAGCGGGTCGGAAGTGTAGGATCGGCTGAGAAATGCTTCGTCACAAATACATATGAATGGAACTTGAGAGGTGTGGATTGTTTTAACACGACTCCCATATAGACCTAGGGACGTTCGTCAATCGTTTGATGGTGATGAGTTATAGTTCAACTTTCTTGTGATTTTGAAATCTTTATTGACTTATTTTTCAACCACAAAGCCGAGCACAACTTCCTCAAATCCTAATGCCATCAATTAAAACTTATCCCACCCTTGTTCGTGGCTGAATCCCGGACTTGTGGGTAGTTTTCCTCCTCAAGCTAGTAGTAGTCAACGATCAGTGTCCGGCTATCATTTTAGTGGACTGGATTTGACTCGCTTCTTGGTGACTTGAACAGACCCGCAATTCATCTCTAATTATATGCTTTACATTGACACCTGAAAACAAACATTTTTATTTTCCACCAGCATTTTTCTCAGACACCATGGCACCCAACTTCTGCTCCGACTGTGGAAACATTCTCTCCCTCTCCGTCGAGCCAGAAATCCTTTGTCGGTGCTGTGGTGCTAGAAACTCCAGTGAGCTATCCCACCCTTTGTTGGCACGAATAAGCGCTCACCTTCGCCTCTCGCGCTCTAGATACAAATTGCTTTGCGACCACGCTCACCACCACTCAAAATTTTCCATCCCGACTTCGAGAAATACTCACATCACAGACTCAGGAGCTTACGGCGAAAGACTTTGAAAGCACGCGCATTATTGAACGAGAGTGTCCAGAGTGCCAGGCTAAGGTAATGACGTGGTCTGAGGCGCAGCTTCGTAGTGCAGATGAAGGGAGTACCATCTTCTATCGCTGTGTGTGTGGATACAGGTTAGTCGAACCCAGCTGATTCAATTTCGTCGTCTGCTCTAGAGTCGCATTATCTGACCACCACTCCAATAGAAGTAAAGAAGATAATTAAGTTACATAAGCGCGCCTATCTCGTTCACGTTTATCAGTAGCTCAAGATATCCGGCGGCAGTAGTCGGATCAAACTGAGGAAGCTGGTCGTCCGCCATAACCTTTCGAGCCCATGATCCTACAAATGAAGTACCTTAGCCACCTAGCTCCCTACTTCTCAAACGGCGTAAAGGATCACTCTTCTGAAACTCGCCATCTTGCAGGCTCATCTAGGCAATTGAGGTACTCACGGAAAGAGAGACAGATTTTCTGATCTCCAAATCTCGCCAGTGTGGGGAGCCTCTCTAAAATTTGAAAACAGGTCTCCAGGCATAAATCTACTTCCACTTAATTTACATCTATTCAGCTTTCTTGCTACCATACATCATTAGTGTCTTATTTATTCGTTCAATGAGCCATTTGAACTTACAGAATTCAATTCTATATATCTTAGCGGCTAATACGGACATAAATAACGTATACAGAGGAAACTTACCCTCCGTATGTGAGTATGCACCAGAGAATATATCAGAATCATGGATACCAAAGATTACCTGATAAATCCCTAAAACAAGCGTCGCGCATGTTGCCGCTTAGAATTGATATGGAATAAAGCAATAATCTATGGCAAATGGGATAAGTTACCAAGCTAGTTCGACTCTTCTGTAGAATCTGGCTAAGATGATGTACAACTACATCATTTGGAAATTTCCTGTCATGCTCTAACGTTTTGTTCCGCTACACGATAAAAAACAAATGGCATAATCGATTTGTGTGCTTGGAAATTAATATGGACGGCAAGCAGCGATCTTATTCCTTTTAGAACTTGAGCAAGATGACGGCTAGGATGTATCAGGTAAACTATTATTTACTGCATAAAGTTCGTATAACCTACGTGACGGGACCTACTTCAACTTGATTAAAGTATTGAATATGTCAAGTACAACCTTCCAGAGAACCCAATTTTAGCCCAATGAAGCGAAAATTCCTCTTTAGCGACAGTAACCACACGCTCGGGCCATTCAAACTTGTTCGATCTCCGTTCTTGCTCTTCTATCTAGTTTTAGAACCATCTTTTCTGATCTAGAAGTATTTTTCTTCACTGAAGGTCTACTCAAACGCCTACCAAGTTGCTTCACATTTATTTCTCCGCTGAAGTAACCCCGTTATCATTTCACCAGTCTCTTGATATTAAAGACTTTAAATATTTATCAAACCCTCCGTATTTCCCCGGCGCTGCCGTACCTCTAGCAGCAGAAGCCGAATACTGGCCAAAAAGCTCAATACTGCGACACAGATGCCTCAACTTTTGTCGAATGCTCTTGCTGATATGCTGGCGAAATATCGTATATATCTAATCGTTGAGGTTTGCCCAAGGTCGAGTTTTTGGCGCTCTTGCCCGAGATACTGTCACATTGAATGTGTCAGGTGATTGGGAGCCTGAACTGTGACAGGCGATGTATATCTGTAATTAAAGAAAAAGAACTCATTATAAACGATTTCATTCCTATTACTCCCGGTATTCCAAAAATGTATACACTGATCATTATTGACATGATATCTTGAAATCTAAATATAAACATGCTCTAGGAATACATAATCTGTGGTATTCAATACAGAATAGAGGTACTTACCAAAGCAAACATCCCACGTACGTCGTGACAGTCCCTATTTTTGATCCGTAACGTCTTCCTGTCTATCTTTTTCGGTGGTTATTCTTAGCCTTTGACAGGATGTATTGAGGAGGTATGGCAGGGGATATACTGCTAACATGAATATCCTTGGCTTGTAGATAGAGAGAACCTACATAGACTTATATAGTCATAGACTTAGAAGGACAATAAACAAGATACAGCTTATTCCTTTCTACCTGTAATAAATAAAATAGGGGGACTATTCTCAACACCTGTGAGTGGTGTCCCCTACGAACCTCCAGCTCTCACTGTAAAGTATGCAGAGCCGAGATTAGGTAACAAAGTCCTCATTTTGACGAGGATTCCCAATCGCTTGCGCGGTCTGTATCGTCTTCATCCCTCAAAATATCCCCCTATCACCATTATCATGAAGCTAACCACGATCAGTTCATGTGGTAGAGTCGGAGCCCTACTTATCACCAACCCTTGATCATGAAAGAAATGCCATCCGATGAGTTTCCATAGCGTACCCAGCACCCGATATGGAGATGGTGGATTGGACAAAGTTGGCTTCCTATTTTACAAAAAAGGGATATGTAGATGGATATATGCACCTCTGTTGACAGAAATAAGCACTAGTGCTGGGGAATGGAAATAGAGTGTATTGAATTGTATATATTATTACATCTATATAGGGTGTTTCGAACCTCTACGAATTAGATGAGAGTGTCATAGCTAGATAGGCTGCATGCACTTAATGATTTTAAAAAAAAAAATAAAGAATTAGATGAGACGCACAGGCCTCTCCAGATTAGTCAGCTTTAATCATCTGTCGAGTCTAACAGCCTGAGGTTGCAATATTCAACTTGAGTGGAACCAACAACCTCATTTATTTACAGCAATTAACGTCATGCCCACGCACAGCATGTGAGCTCCTCACTAACAGGTTAGCCCAGTACAAATAGATATAACCGACGGGTTCGCGCCTAGATCGACCCAACATAGCAAATGAAAACAATGACCCTGTCATCTTGCGCTCGAAGATTGAATTATATATGAATAGCAGCCTCCCATCGACTCTCACGCTTTACGGATGATATTAAATTGGGAGTAGAAAACATAAAAATAAAAATAAGAAAGGGGGAAAGTGGTCACAGTGTAAAATTAAACAACTGTTGGTCAAACATAATTATTCTTGCACCTGAACATAATAGAGTTATGGTTTTGATCATTGCTTACTCATGACATAATGGGTAAAGCGTTTGGAGATATTTTTTTAAAATCATTTAATGTGTATTCAGCTATCTAGCTATGGCACATGACTAGTGCTATGTATACACGTTGGAAGATTCTTTTGACGTTAGAGACACTCATACTCTGGATTTCATTCACAAATACCACTATGAGGCATGCTTGCTTACACAAACAGTCGACCCTCCTCCATGAGTACCCACTAAAGGGACATTTCATAACCTTTGGTTATCCAAGCTTGCCTTCTTCATCCATGTATACCAGTGCCGCGAGAAACGTGGTTGTGTTTTTCCGGATTTGAGCCATCGATCTACTGTCTCGAGTGGGATGTTTGGAGATCTTATATACCCTGTATTAGTAGTTCCATATTAGTGTGTAGCGATAGCTAGGTCGTAGCATTAGGAGAGAGTGCTGAGAAGCAGTCGCAATACACGCTCCGCATTTTATCAACCCAATACTTTATCAAATATACTTCCAGTAGTCCTATTTCAGTTGTCTAAGAGAATTATATTCTAATACACAGCTGTTAGAATCTATGAGTCAATTGAATAATGTAAGAAGTAAAAAGTAAAAAGTGTCAATTAATTCCTGGCTGCTATTTCTCTTTCTGTTACTATCTAGATTATGTACGTCCAGAAAATGGCAAATGCTCTATGTGTCCCCAACTTGTCCCCATGAACCGAGTTTCTCATGGTTTAGAGCGAAACATCTCTAGTGAGATCAGGGTTGAACCCTCAATGTCTATTGGAAAAGATCGAAAAAACAGTATTTATCAAAAGAAGTGAATTTTGGTGGTTTAATGTCTACTTTTAGCAGTCCTTCATAGTCTTAGACTCAGTAGGGACTTAAATTTAATTCTATTCTATTCTATTCTATTCTATTCTATCTCTAGTGAGATTATATAGAGTTCCCATTGCTACAAACCGAGCGAAACACCTATTTCTAAGACAAGTAACTCCAAGCTTTGTATACCTAACACCTTAAACTTTATATCTGACATTAATCGCTTCCAAACTATCCACAGTTTGATAACAGCACTTTAAAGCTCTCTTGATATTATAACATGACTCCGTTCCAGTCAGACTTGTTGTACTTTTTCAAAATTTTTAGCGACGAGCCCAACTATTACATGCATAAACTCCCTCCGCTGAAGCAAGAGTCCTAGATATGTTAGGTTTAAATTTCTGTGACCTGTGGTGCTGAGCTCGATACTGCCCGAGATGGCAATAGAAATTTTAGTTAGGTGAGCCCCCCTTCTCCGCATGATGAGGTTAGGATGGCGTTTTCGTGCTACTATCGTCGGTGACAGTCTGCGAATAGTTATGTCTAGACCATGCGTCTAGCAGATATCCTAGTGTGCGTTGCCCTAGACAGGCGATATGCGGACTTCATGTAGTCCCAGTGTCTAAGCCTCGCATGGCTAGGGCTGCAGCTTTTTTGAGACCTCTTCATGCGCAAGCAGTTTCCATTGCCACCTTTATTTTATATTTATTTTTGTGTAGAAGGTTGCATGATAAAGGTGGCAAAATTCCATGGGTAAACACCAAGCTGAATGGCTATTCACCACGGGCAATAAACAAATGATCTTTCAAGTGAAAAAGAGGATGGATGCACTGTACAAGGTGTGGCTGTTTCCGTGAGGAAGATGGAAGAAAGAGCTCTGGCCTTGGTAAATACTATAGGATTCAGGCCCATATGTCAACTCTAACATTTTCAACCAAACCACCAAATTTTCAAGGCCACAGTAGGGAAGATGAATCTGCATATTTTCAGGCCAGAACCGGTATTGGGAATGTAAGAGCATATTTGAAAAGAATTGGAAAAACATAAGACAGCAGATGTAATTTCTGCAAGAAGGGTAAGCAAACCATACAACATTTGATACTTCACTGTCAAAAATATTCAGATGAAAGAAATAAAAATTTCAAAAATATAGAACCACTCAATCTTCCAATTCTTCTGCAGACAAAGAAGGGAAAAAAAGCATAAGTTAATTTTCTTCAAGCTTCTAAGTGCATTTTTTTTTATATAATTCATTTTTCCTGATTTGGCGCCTTGAGGCCCATGCAGGTTTTATCGGAAGATATGTACTTTAATTAGGATGACTTAATTTGACATTTAGAATACTCACATTCAGATTTCATTTGAAGATACCACTCGAGGTTAACCCTTACGGCGTATAATCTCTTCCGTGCATACCCACCACAGGGAAAAGCGTGAAAAACCTGTGGCTATCCGAGTGTTCTTTCATCATCACACAAGTACAATATCACCGCGAGAGAGAGTGGTATGTGGGTCTTACTGGGTTCGAACCAGCTTTCTCCTGTCTCAAATGAGGTAAGGTTCAAGCTACCTTGTATCTACTTGGGAGAACGGCCCGAATGGTGTATCACTGCACCATCCAATCCGCTATTTTGTATATAGCGATCACGTGAAAGACTCACAAAGGATGCTATCCTAAGAGCTAAGTATCAGTTGGCTCTGAATCCATTAATCTATAAATTGTTGGGAATATCGCGCAATGAAATTGGCGCAATATCTATGGAAGCAAAGTAGAGGTTGACTAAAAGAGTGGCATATTCGGATTACAGTTAAAAGTGTGGGAAGTGTGCGCTACAAGTACAACTGTAAGCAACACAGAGCCTAAGCCACAGCATAAACGAGTGTGGCGCCATCTAGGCATAGAAAACCCCAAATCATCTCCTTGCGCCCGCGCCATACAGCCGCTTATATATCTAACAGGTAGCTTGAAGCGCTACCACACTACCCATTTAAACCTCCTAAATGCACAAAAGATCTTTTCGGGAACCTAGACAAAACGGAGGGCCCGTACGTCCACAAACACTCTGCATCTCCATTTCCAATAAAAATGCATCAGGTAAATGTAGTTCTTTGAATGAGAAGAAGATAAAAAAGTTTTGCGATTTATAACGATTAATACTGTGTATAAACCGTTGTTGAAACAAACAAGTAGCAAAAGCTGGCACGTCAGGTAAACAAGTATTCATGGTGAATTCAAACCTTAGAAGATTCATAACAAATCAATGAAATTCTGATTCATTAACCCATGTCACCAAATTTGAGCTAATCATTACTTTGCTCATCTTGTGCCAATTCGAGCTAACCTCTATAGATGTTTGATACTAGCTCGTGACGAAGGTAGTAAGGTGGAGCTATGATATCTCATAACTGATATCACATCTTCTACTGCACCTCAACTTGATTTATGAATTTCAGACCATCATTATTACAAAGTCCCATGTAACGAGACAATATCCAAAGAATTTCAAAAGGCATATGACTGGGAATTTGATGATGCCGAAGCCAAAATCTCTAAAATATTTAGAAGGATCGCAGATGATTAGAGGGAAGGAAGTATCAACAGAATTCCCAGGCATATAGGGGTGCAGTCTGAAGGCTTGCAATTCTCCCAACAGTAAGTTGCTCACTAGCCAAATTTACATCCCATATACCATTTTAGGAAATTAATCTGTTTGTTTTCAAGGAACTCAGTTGGCGTGTGATGTCAATGGTGGTGCAGTGCACGAGTGAATCCTAAAATCAGCTTGAGATCTATATAAGTTACAGAAATAGAGATTTGTTTGAGCCAACATCACGCCATAATTGTGCATCCATCGCAACTTCCTCATCTAGTTGTTAACATTCCAAAACTCATATTTTCCGTCCCAATATCCTTCTCTTCATCTGCAGAGATCTTGAACAAACTTTCCTCTACATTATCGACTTCTCCCATAATCTACTATATCAACTGTGTGACTACCTCATCGATTTCATTTCTCACTTGCATCTAAGAACAGTCTACCTTCAAAATGAATCATAATCTCCCCAAGGCTGCTCTTAGCATGATTATTCCAACATCTTCCTCTACACTTTCGCCTGTCTCAACTATAATTCCAAAGCTTCCTGATTATGAACGGGTTGGACCAACTGGTGCGAAAACTCTATGGGTTAGTGTTTACAAATTGAAACTTTAATTTACCAGCTCTCTGCATCAGATAACTCCTCAATTGTGTAGTTCTAGCTGATAACTTATTTGAAAAGACTTTATTTTTTTTACTAACAATAACTCATAGGTTGTTTTCTTAATCATGCTCATTTCTTCAATCACATTTGTTGCACTTTCTTTTAGAGTGCCTGTCGTGAGTCGTTTATTTAGAGGTTTCTTGTGCCAAATTACTAAAATTCTTAGCAAAAACGTCTTTTTTATGTTCTCACTACTTTTATGACGATTTTTGCCACCACGTTCTATTTCGTTATGGCAACTGGCAGTGGGTTTTATTGGATTAATTCTAATCTGAACTTAATCCAAGATGTCTCGCTGCGTCAAGTTTTCTGGGTACGCTTCCTTGATTTAATATTCACCACGCCATTCATTATTTTGGATCTTGCATTTCTTTCGAACATGAATGGTGCCAGTATAACAACAGCACTAGTTTCAGATACTCTGATGATTATCCTGAGTATATTTGCGACATTTAGCACATCTCAAGGTCAAAAGTGGAGCTACTTTGCATTCTCGTGTCTCGCCTATCTGAGTATTGTTTACCAATTCGCCGTACCAGGTCGCCGCGCTGTGGCCACCAAGGCCAGCAGCACCAGAAAGCTTTTTACAGCCATAGGATTTTTCACTTGTATTCTATGGACTCTTTATCTTATTGTCTGGGCTCTCGGAGATTGCTCTCACACATATGGCGTCAATACCGAGATTGTAGCCTTTGCTGTTCTCGACATTTTGACTAAACCCGTTTTCGGTTTCTGGCTTCTCATAGCACATGGGCGAAATTCCGGAAGTTTAGACGGTTTCTGGAGTAGCGGTCTATCTACAGAGGGCGCTATTCAGATTGGCGAAGATCATTAATTCGTTTAAGGGTTTAATGTAAGTGTTACAAATAACTGAGCAATTTATTATCGCTTACTTCTTGTTCAGATGTTTTAAAACATAATTGTTTCAACTTACGTGGAAACTAGTTCATTGCATGTAGGGAATAACGTAGTTTCTAGCTGACCAAGTACATTATCGATCGATAATCTTAGAGCCTTGCCAAGGGTTGGCTTAGAATATAACAGTGGAAAGGAGTTGCATCAATTCGGGGATTTCCTCATAGCTATAATTATAGACTTATCTGTGTGTGTGTGTGTGCGTGCTTTTCAAGAAATATATATTTACCCACCTATTCAGAGGTGCTTATTAGGCCATTCTGATATTCATATTCACACTACACCGGTCTTTTTCAAGAGTAAAAATTTCGAATTGGTAATTATACTAGTCCAGCCACTTGTAAGTACAATGGAGGCCTCTGTGATCACGATCGTAGCTATGGTGTATCTTAAACACAATGAGAGTACCTCTAATTGACAAGAGTAATGTAAACCTAAAGCATGCTGTAAGTGAGGCTAACTGCCCTCGTGTTTAGATGATGTGTTAGACACTGAGGGTCAAATGTAAAATGTAAAGTAAACTTGTATTGATGAAATCTCTGCTCCTCAACTCCTCTCAAGCAGTGTTGCTATATACCCATATGTAACTATTTCCGGGAGAGATTATCTTCTCCTCGTTTCCCAAAATTACATATGAAGTATATTACATGTGCTGAAGATCAAAACATCTCAAGTTGGAGCTTTGACTATCCTGAACATCCTGATGACCATATCCCTGGTGAGAGTTCAAAACTTGAGTAAATTAATCCGAGATGTGTCATCCCGATATCCAATGATTCTCATTACCTTATTCAGTAGGTTCTAAGCTATCAGATGTTTGACATGATGAGATGGAAAGATCTGTGAGGCCATGTTTCTACGATCGGAGAGATATGTAACTTTTTCAGGAGATTACGTCGCAATGGCGGATTTTATTTATTTAGTGTCGGAATTTTAGCTGTAAACCCTTCCGTTTGGATGATTGAGTTGGAGATGGGATGCGCTCTTTGGAGGAATGTAACAGACCCTAAATAGTACTTATGTATGTTATTTAACGTGCTGGGCAGTTGGTAAACTTCACATTCCTGAAGGAAAATAAACATGGTTACGGCCGGGATAGATCAGGTTAACTACTGTAGGAATATTCTCGAATACAGTACCCCAATCATGATTTGAGTAAACTTGACCCTGAAACTAATCAGGAAGGAGCCTTGGATTAGTCATGCATTAGTCACAGAAGGAAAGCTGGCTAGAACTGACGTGGAAAATTTCCCTGTGTATATTGAATTTGTTTTCATTATCCTGATTTGGCGCCCTATGGGCCCATGCAGGTGTCTACAATCTATAATATTTACCTCTAAGGAAACCTTTATGGTGAAAGCCTCCCACACCTTTCTATTTGTTGTCTATAGTTCTCACAAATTTTCTTCAGGAAGCACAGTCACACTATAGTGCCATCCATGTAAACTAACCAGATCATATCTATCCTCCCCAAGCATAATTTGACCTTTTCCTTTCCCTCAGCAGTATTTCGACCGCTTTTTTCATCTGGAATTGCTCTATCCAACCATGGTTTAGGATCTACTGTGTTATCCTTTTTATATCTCCAGGATTATTTATCATCGCTTCGTAGGATCGATCTTTGGCTTGTCTCCAGATCTCAGCTCTACCATTTGACCATCGGGGGCAGGACGTAATCATATGCTTGGAGTTCTGTGATTGGTAGCCATATGCATAAACTGGACTTAATACTCCGGGTATTTAAGTGTTCGTGGCTGACTGGTGACGCGCTTGAGCTGACTCGTTTCAATATTTAAAACATCCTACAATAGTCTTAGACTCAGACAGGACGTAAATGGAACGTACAAACAAACAAACGAGCAATTCGAGAAATTCCCATTTTCCCATTTTCCCCCTCCAATCACTCGTCGTATATCGAAAGATCAATTTCTCGTGGTATCGCGCCACTCAGCCTTGAAATGGCACCGGTACCCTCAAAGTCCGCGAAAATCGCGAAATCTGTATTAACCTCCAAAATAGGGAAACACAACCACCAGAAAAGTCTGGATACCCCGAAATCCATGCGTGGAATATTTAGAAGCGTGGCAGGTCAGAGAATGAAAGGCTCTGGACTGGTAGCTAACGCCTCCGATCTCGACCAGATGGAAGTCGACATTATCTCACAATTGGAGGAACGCGGCCAAACCGACACTGTGATGTTGGAAGCCGAAAAAATAATCAATGAAATGATAAACAAGGGTCTAAAAGACTCACGATGGGCAAGCGCAGGAGCTGAGAGCTCCCTAGAGGCGGTAAAGACCCCGGAAATTGTCGTCGAGAAAGCAGTCTCGACGAAACCAACGACCGAGCCCGCACGCCGTGCAGCTAGAAAAATTGCTGTTCCCGTAGTAAAGCGGACATCAATCAAAAGCATACCAACGGGAACGGAAGTCCCCACTTGCACAGAGGTAGCAAATGCCTCAAGACCTCAGCCACCCCCGGCCTCGATTCCAGGGACGGCTGAGTGCCACAACCACTCTTCTGGTGGTGCTCCCACCGGCACCACGCCAATTCACCCGCCGGAAATAGAGGCTTTACTCGAAGCCGAAAGAAAGCGGGCTGCAAACACCTCAGCCAGGCTCGAGATAGGGTCAACGGTGTTAAAAACATTGGAAAGTGTTATCCTGTCCATGAAAACGACAGATAACAAAGAATACTTGGACCGATGAACGTGTGTCTGAGGGGCGCCCTCGCCCACTTCCTGCGCACTGGAACCACACCAGTGCCGACAAGCCTTCCCCCCCGCCCCATCGGCCAGCAGGCCAGCAACAGCGGGCCCTCACCACCATCGACCACCAGGACAGCAAATCCTGCCGTCGCGGTGCCCCAGGTCACTTCAACCTGGGCAACTGTAGCCCGGAAAGGGCTACCAAATCACCCGACGCCAGTGATAGCAAGTGGTGCCCCGAAAAAGCCGACCCCGCCGACCAAAAAATCGGCCAAGACGGCTCCTTCGTCCTCGCCGGACAACCGACTGTTCCTCCGGCTAAAATCAAAACATCAATGGCGAAATCTTTCACCAGCTGGCATCAGAGAAGCGGTGGCGCAGCTGACCAACGCGCCTCAGGCAGCAATTGAACACGTCTACCGTGTCCCAACTGGCTTCGCACTCAGAGCGAAGAACCTGGAATCTCGCCAGCTCCTATTGAGCGCGGCGGATTCTTTCCTCCCAATCGAGGTAAGGCTAGAGGAGGCCTCGGTCCTTGTCGCGCTCCGGATCTCGACGGTCCCTGTCGCCATCCACACCCTCCTCGGAAAGGTGCATGTGACGGAGGAGATGGTGATCGAGGAGATCACGCGAGTCACAAAGGCCGTGCCAGTCAAGGTACGGCCCCACGGGAAAACTCGCCTTGACGCTCCATACCAGTCATGGCTTGCCCATTTCAGGAAGGGAGCAGCACTAAGACAAGGATTCCGCTTGTTCGACGACTCGGGCGTCGCGGTCCCACACAAGCCGCGACAGACTGTGCAGCAATGCAAACGCTGCCTGCAGTTCCATGGAACGCGCGGTTGCTCTCGCGCTCAAGCCTGTGGGAACTGCACCTCCACGATGCACTCGACAGACGAGTGCCGTGCTCACACCAAGTGCCGCAACTGCGGAGGACCGCACAGGTCCGACAGTCGAACCTGCCTGGCGCGCCCAACTAAGGCCGGATCCGTTAGCAAAGAGCTACTGGCAAATATTCGCATTGCGAGCCAACGCGAGCTAGCGGTCGTGGTGAGGGCTAAAGCTGCAGCCCGTCGCGCTGAGGCAGCAGTACAAGCGGCTGCCAAGCAAAAGCAAGCCTCACCCGAAGTGGTGAAATCAAACAACAGTTTCGAAGTTCTGATGACCGACGTCGCCTCCGACGCCACGGCCACAGGAACGACGAATCCTGTTGAGTCTTCCTGAAGGGCCCCTCATGGGTCCCTTCCAGCCTCCCACCTACGATAAGTTTTATGTCGATCAACGTAGGTAGGGGAGGCTCATCACACGACATCGCGCTTTCCCGAGCTTACGAGCTAGGCGTCGATGTAGTGTTAATACAAGAACCTTCGTGGAAAAAAGCCACAAAGGAGACAAAGTCACACCCTGGATACGACTGTCATATACCACATGGCGGCGTAAACATTCGACCCAGGGCTGTGACTTATACACGAATCAATACAGGGAACCTTTCGGCAAGACAAATCTTTCCCTGCCATCCCCCGACGGCGGATTACTGCTGGGTTGTGGTAAACAGAGTCACGTTTCTGAACGTGTACAAAGACCCGAACGACCCGACGGCCATTAGACCACTCCTCAGCTGGGACCCACCACCATGATCCGTCGCGGCTGGCGATTTCAACGCGGTGCACCGCGCATGGCAACCAGATGCTGCCCGCCCACGCGGACAAGGAATCGAAATCGAGAGATGGGCGGAACGCCATAATCTCACTTGTCTGATTGTGGGCGAGCCAACGCATCGAGCCGGAAACACGCTGGATCTTGCCTGGACCAACATCAACGGGGCCCAAGCATGGGTGGGTCGCAGCGAGTGTATAACCAGCGACCATCTTCCGATTCGAGGACAAGTCCCCACCGGATGCGGAAAATGGGACCAGGAGCCATCGCCGATCAGGGTAACACGCGGCAACTTGCCAAGGTTCGTCCTTGCCGTCACGCAGTTCACTCACCCACCACCAGTCTTGGACACGGTTTGCCAGGTGGATGAATACGCCAACGATCTCTGTTCCGGCCTTACTAACGCTATCAAAGCAGCAGGAACACGAAGGAACAAAAGACGTGGCAAATGTGCACCTTGGTAGACACCGGAATGCAAGCTGGCTCGCACGGAGTATCGTGCAGCAGTGACTCCAGAGCAACGATGGGTGCATGCGAAGAAGCTGCGCTCAACCCTC